CTGTTCAGCTTCAGTTGGCATTCCTGCAACGCACAGCAAGGAAGGAAAAGCGCAAGGCAAGCCTAAGCTGCTTCACCAGCCCCCCTCCACCTTCAGCCTTGGTTGGACAATGCGCAACTAGTTTGGCTGATACTGCCTCACGCCTGTGACCAGTGGTGGAAGTGCATGTCTCTGACTGAAGAGAGACGCTCATTTTTCGCCAATGACTCGAGATGCTCAGTCTTGAAGCAGGTTGCTTGCACAAGCCGAGCTATGGGGGCTCACGTTTTACAGTTCCCCGCTCCTGCAAATTGGCAGCTGCAGCTTGGCAGTACAGTATGTGTCTTCATACCGTGGCAAGTAACCAGAGGGCATGGTGATGGCTGATCGTAAGACCTGCTGCCTGAGTGATGCACCTTGTGCCCAGACATTCTTTGCTTGGGCGGTAAAGATGATCCCGGCTGCGTCCCAGTTGCATCAATGACATTCCACTCGGCAATCTGCCAGCCTATCCGGGCACAGCAACAGACACGTGGTGGTGGCACCTGTTAGTTCCGATTTTCCGTGCGCATGACACCTCGCTGGCCGATAGCAGCCCAGGTTTTCGAAAGATACATGCATTGATACCTCAAAACGCTGGGTACACAGGAAGGTGACAGAATATTGAATTTCAACCGCCCTGCTCAACTAGCAAGTCTGATGTTTGTGGGCTGAGCTGTGCCTGGCCTCACCTGTTTGGATCCTTGGCCTCACGAGTGCTGGAGCTCAGAGCATGTAGCTGGCGTAGATGGTTCAAAGCCAATGCAGAGGATAACCAGATTGCACCGGCAGCAGCCGTGTTTTTCCGTGAGCAGCCTGAAAAGCATTCATGCTCAGGACCCACTGGCTGGTGTGTCGTAAGGCCACATCGTAGGTCAACTCCGAATGGGTGTGGCATAAGCCACTGCCTATCCAAAATAATTAGAGCTTTCTGCTGTGCGCAATGCACGTGCGTGGCTACGACTGCGCGAGAGGCTAGCGTATCTGCAGCTCTGTGAGCTCACTGAGCTGTGACTCTGCGGACACCCCTGTGGCCCAGAGCCCGCAGTGGGGTTCAACATGTTTCAGATGCATTTGCGCTCACTGCGTGGTAGCTCCACGCTCCTTCTGCCTGCTGTCGAGACGGGGTCGCTGTGCCGTCTGCTCTCGATGGACGCTGACATCTAAGGGTCCCACTTCCCTAGCTTTGAGATGGTGTGCGTTGCTCACCCGATACGAATCATCGCTGAGCTGAAAGAAGGGCAATGCCTTGTGTAACTCCGTGCAGACCACCAACACAGCAGAGTCTGGTGTAGAAGCCCCGCCGAATCCTGAGGTTGTTCCGCTTGCAGATGGCTCCTGGTTCGTTATGGGCTTGGGCCTGAGGGGCTGCTCATTTGTGGGAGTTCATGCAAAATGCCTGGAGACTTCGCGGCTCGTAGGCTACGTTTGAAAAGTTGAAGTACTCTTACAGTGTGGGGCACTCGATGTTTGCCTTTTCTCAGGGGGTGCTTCAACTGGAGTCCTGAGGTTTAGTAGACAATCGGGTTAGAAGTTTATTGCAGGCAAAGAGGCAACGATGAGTCAAGCTCGACTCTTTGCTGGAAAAGAGGAGCCAGCATGTTATTCTAAATGATTCGATCGATCATGCGTGCTCTTGGCCGAACTATGACAGAGTGTCAAACAAGGCGGTGCAATGCAGCAACGGTATCTCCATGGCGTGCAGGGAGCCAAGAATGATTGGGGGATTTTTCCTAGGCGGTTAGACCCTTTCACTTACTTGGATTTCATGTGAAAGTAATCTTTGTCTTGTTTGCTTGCAGGGCGGGGTGCGTTGATTTCTGCGGGTTTTCCATATGTAACAGTGCTTAACCCATAGCACCTTCAACAGGATGCAGTTCATGTCACATGAAGTTGTCCCAAGAAGTTTCTTTCCGGAATGAGCTCGGAAAAGTGAGCATCATGGTATGTAGGACTCATGTGCAAATGCTCTTGCACTCACAGACACAAGTCACAAGGCCGCATGGTGGAATGCCTGGCACCAGGATCAACCTCACCTTCAGGGCCTGGGCCCTGGGAGAGGTCAGGGGCATTGCAGTTGGGGTTGTTATGCCCTACATGAGGGGCCTTAGAGTATCGCGCTCAGTAATTAAGTGAGGGTGTTGAAATGCCTTGTAAGATGGCATGCAGTTTGGTACCATGATTGACCGGACTATATCTCAGGATGTCAATGACCCGCTTACAGCGACCTACATTTTTTTGAGCGCTTCATGGGTGTATGTACTGGTCTTGACAGTCCCCGCGTGCCTCCCGACCACTGACCCTGAGTGCAGGGCAAACGGGTAAACAAGATCCAAGGTTGAGAAGGGAGGGCGGAATGAGGCGTATGCATTTTGCATGCTCGCTACATAATCATTGAAAGATTGTTGGTTATCAACCCTTTGGCCAAACCCAGAGGAAAGAAGGCCCAACGCCAGCTCAACAACGGTTTTACAAAGAGTTGCAGAAGTTGCAGTTGCCAGTTTCTACCCGTTTACCTTACCAGCCCCCTGCAAAGAAGGGATGCTTGCACGGTTGCGTGTGCAGACTAGCAATGGGCCGATGTTTTTGGGAGTACAGTTGCTGTACAGGACTATTATTGTGTCCGATGAGGTAGCGACGTCAGTGGCGGAGGCAGCCAAGTACCGTGGCGTTTGCTTCAACAAGCAGCGGCGCGTCTTTGACGCACGTCTCACGGTGAAGGGGCGAAAGTACTTTGCGGGCAGCTTCCGTGCTGCAACTGAAGCAGCGAAGATGTATGATCAACGCTTGCGGGATCTGTGTGGCAGTGACAAGCAGCGCTTGCAAAGATGCCTGAACTTCCCATCGGAGGAAGAGGCAGCTTACCAAGAGACTGCCAGACATGCGCGAAGGCGTGGAATGGACATGAATGGTGGCAAGTACGGCACTCACCGCAAAGAACTGCAAGCGTTCGAGCTTCTCAACCAAGCCTTTGCCAGATCGCCGGTGTCACAGCATTACGAGATCAGGCGACTCTCTGGTGCTTCGAAGGCTGATGCATTGTTCGTGCAGAGAAGTTCACCCGAAGTTGGCTTGCCGCTGCAGCTGAAAGCGTCCTCAGGACATGGCCCGCAGGCACGCACGTATTCGTTTCAGAGCATGCGTGGATACGATGGTATGCTGGTGTTGTGCGTTGCGCTAAAGGATGGCCACATGTGGGCAGTGGCAGGCCAGAACATTGTGGTAAACACGCTTCACATCACGCTTGGGTGCAACAGTGATAGGCAATTGCGCGTGGATTCGCAGGATATTGGCCCGCATCTGGCGGCTTGTTTGCATGATGCTCGAAGCTACCCGCACATGTCAATGGTACATGCTAGCATGCAGTGTGCATCGAGAAGCCACATGGTGGAAGCCGCTACGCATCTCCAGTTGCAACGGCTGTTCAGCTGTATCCGCATGCGGTTGACTCGCCCAAGCTTGCACAATTCTGCCGTAGATTCTTGGCTGGAGATCAATCATGTGGACGCCCAAGGAGTGCACTTGCGCTTACAGGAGAAGGCTTCAAACAAACGGCAGAGAAGGTACGTCATAAGGCTGTCGAAGTGCGGAGGTGCACTTGGCAGACAGGCGTATGCTAGAGATGATTTCGATGTTCTCGTAGCCTGTGTCCTGGCAGAGAACAAGTTGGACGGCATGTTCTTCATTCCTGCAGCTTTGCTCGTAGATCATGGCTTCATAGGTTTGAGGCCGACCCACATGCTGTTGTACCCACCTTGGCATGCACCAGTCAAGAAGGATATCAGATCCAAATATGCTTGGCAGCCGGAATTCTTCCTTGATCTTCGCAAGTGGAATGGGTCCGATGAGCTTCCGCAAGACTTGGGCGACCGATTGGAGACGCTTGTTGCACGTGCTGCAACTTCGGCTGTTGTGGGAGCATGAAATTTTGTGAACTCATTGAACAGGCGCTGTGGATGATCACTGTGCCACGTGAGGGCATGGCCTGTGGATCATAGAACTTTTGTCCCATTCGTAGGGTTTGAAGGCGTGCGGTACCGCGGTCCTTGCATCCTCCAATACCAGGCAACCCCTTTTTCATAAATCCAATCGCTCTGGGCCTCAACGCAATTAGACCTATAATGCTCTTCACCAGCAGCGTTCTTTGAGCCGCTCTGTCAACCAATTCTGTATGGTTCCATGATCCTACCATGGGGCTCTAGCCTCAGTCTATAAATAAATCCTACAGTAAATCAAGCGTCTATACATAGTGCCTGCATGGAGCCTCTGGAAAATCTAAACCCAAAAGCCCGCACCTTGACAAAGCCTTACAAGGTCTGCATCCCGCGCGCAGCAGCCGCTGCGTGAAACAAGGCCGACCCAGAATCAACGCCAACCAGGACCGATAGCAAGGGGTTGAACAGTTCGCGGTTTGGCTTAGGGATCCTTGGGGTTATTCTCCCTCTGGTGTGCAGTACTCAGTGAGGAGTGGATCTACATCCGTCCCCACAAGAATCTGCTTTTCCTTGCTTGCTAAACACGAACTGGTTGTGAGGTTGGAATTTGTACAGTATGGCGCATATTGACACGCGAAGTATCCGTAAGGGCTAGGATGCTCACAGGAGCTTGCCTAAGTTCCCTCGAGCTGCCATCATGTTGCATGGCAGGTACATGTTTTCCTACTCCTGAGCCGCCGCCCACCTACACGTTCAGCTTCACATAAGAGAAGAGCAAATCAGAAAAAAACACACACTGACAAAAAACAAATCAACAGGAACGGCATGTGAATAGCTTGGGTGAATCGTCCAGGAATCTAGATTTCATGGTGTCTGGCCGGCACTCTCTCAAATGCTCCCTGCATGATTCTATAGCTTACACTTGCTTTGGCATGAGGACGGACGGTTGTAGTCCTGTTTGATCATGATTACCAACACCGCAACACCGCGGACGGCTGCGATGATGTGCTGGGCACTGTTGATGATAGCTTTATAGATCTCAACGCCATGGCCGTACACGAGACGGCATTGACGAAGCTCTTCCGCAGCGACTCGCTGCAGGCGGTGCTGCGCTGGCATGAAGAGGGGCAGAAGAGGCCCCGTGATGCTTATTACAAACGCAATCCCTATACAATCCCCATATCACCCCTATTATAGTATATCCCCGCCATAATATGTCCCCATTAGAATATATCCACTTACTCCCCACTAACCACCAGCAAGTTGATAATGCTCTAGGGGTCCGGAGAGATCGGGACCACACATGGATTTGAAGAACTTATAGATGTATATCAAAAGCTTCTCTTTGATCAAGTAGTGGTTGTAAAGACATTTTGCGAGTAAGTGTTCCGTGGAGAAGAATTCAATGGTTCGAGGTCAGAATTCTGGAATTTAGGGCTGGAGTGTGCAGGGCTTGGGGTAAATCAGTTGGGGTGCAAAGTTTGGAGATCAGGGATCTCTCGTTAACAGATTAGGGTGTTGCCGCACTCATCAGGGGATATTTTGAGACTTCGAAGTTTTGTTTGGCAGCGCTCTCCAACCCTTTTTCTTCTTCCTCTTTTGGTGCAATCTATTATCATTCTTGCTTGACGAAAATGAGTCGTGATGTTGCTGACGGTTTGTTTTGGCTGAAATGACTAAAGCCGACTGTGGGGTATGACGATTGCGCTACATCCTCAAACCATTAAAAATGGTACTTTCCCTAAGTAGGGGGGGGGCCAATTTAGACCCAAATATACTATATAGTCCTTATTATAGGGACCCCCAAAAAGGTACTCCTAATTTTGGGAAACCCTATAAACCCTAAACCCTATAGATCCCCAACATAACCCCTACATATCCCTATATAATCCCTATATAATCCCTATATATCCCTCTATAACCCCTATAAAACCCTTTAAAGGGACCCCGAATTTTGGGAAACCCTAAACCCTATATATCCCTGATATAACCCCTACATATCCTTATATAATCCCTATATAATCCCTCTATAACCCCTATAAACCCCTTTAAAGGGACCCCGAATGTTGGGAAACCCTAAACCCTATATATCCCTGAGATAACCCCTACATATCCTTATATAATCCCTATATATCCCTCTATAACCCCTATATAACCCCTATAAAGCCCTTTAAAGGGACCCCTAATTCTTGGGAACCCCCCCCCAAGATCCCTCCAAGGCTCTCCATCGGCCTCGAGTTGGAGTGCTTTCTGCCGGATCTCTCGGCCTTGGTGGCAGAGCGCCTGGTGCCCTTACGGGAGCCGCAGGAGTTACGTGGCTGGTTTACACGTGGAAGTTCTGGGTTTTTTGGATTATATGACTTATACCTGTAACCCCAGTTATCTACAGCTTTATGGGCGATGCCTACTAATTAAGGCGGGCTAGTTTCTTCTAAGCTGTAGGTAATTGGGGCTGAAGGTAGGGATGGAAACGATGTTGTACCCCCGAAGCGGTAGAACTGCGGTCATCCTGTTTACTAACCCTACCCATATCTGCCAACGAACCTCCAAGTCGGGTTTGGGCTTTGTAACGTTGTAGGGGTACTGATGCTTTTCACGTGTTTGAAAAGCATTGTTTCACATGCAAAATATTTGTCGCAGTACCATCACACTTTGCAGCAGCACGAGGCAAGTTGATTGTAGACCCGTGTCCTGTCAAGACCTACAGCGTCCTAAGTACATGTCAGCCATGCGCTTCATCTCCAAATCGCTCTCCTAAACCTTCAGCTGTGCGGCAGTCACCCTGCAGGCTCCTTGGCAGTAGAACTCCAACTTTATCTTCTGGAGAACCCTACTAGATAATTTACTCCAAAATTAGGGTAGCGAGGGCAAATGCTTACACTTATAGCCACGTAAAGAACCAAGCATGAGCTTTGAAGCAGGATCCCAAACCCTACACCCAAACAGCTGAGCCCCAACCGCCAAATTGTCAATACCCTTCATTTTCCCAGCGTCCCATACAGCGCATTCTCCTTGTTTAGGTACCTAAGTTTCTTACTGGACTTTCTGAAAATCAAAGAACAAGGATCTACCTAAGCAGATCTAGGAGCTCTCAGCAATCCAAATGGGAGTTCTCAAAGAAAAGGATCCGAATGAAGATCAGGCAAGGTCATTTCACCATCCTCTCAGATGCCCCATACATATTTTTTTTCGGAATCCCTATGGAATCCCTATGGCAACATCTTTCGAAAAGCCCCACTACCCCTAAACCCTTAACCTTATAATTCCGAAACCTAAGATACGACCCCCTGAGCCCTACGAGCTAAAACCCTAGGACCGCCACAAAACCCTCAAGGCTTCAACTTTGAACCTTAATCCCTCAACCGCAGTAGGGGTTTACCCTAAACCCCGAAGCCCTAAAGAATAAACCCAAGCCTTATAACGGATTTAAACCTAAAGCCCCAAACCCCTGACCATAATCCCTTAACCCCTCACCCCTGAACTTAAAGATCCAAAAATGTACCCCAAACCCTAATATAACCCATCTTAGTAGTTTCCATTTTCTTTTCCATTATCCCAATATATCCCCTATATAACCCCAATATAACCCTAAGTCTTCAGGCAAGATCCCATCGCCCATGAGCTGAGGCTCTTCCGCCTGGTGGCCCGAACCCTCAGCGAGCTGGTTGCCGAACATGGGGCCGGCAAATGCCGCTCCGGGGATGCTGGGGCTTTGTTGGATGTAGGTTTTTTAATATGGGATTTAGGGTTTAGGGCTTAGGACTTGATATTTGTCGTTTGGGACTTACTTAGGGCTTAGTATTCGAGATTTAGCGTTTGGGGCTTAGGATTTGGGACTTAGGGTTTGGGGTTTAGGTTGGAGGATCTACGATTCAGGGTTTGGGGTCTAAGGTTTGAGGATTTGGAGTTTAGGGTTTGGGGTCTAGGTTTGAGGATTTGGGGTTTTCAGGGTTTAGGGTTTTGGGCTTATAGGGTTGAGGTGTTAGGTTTTGGGGCTTAGGGTTCGGGGCTTTGGCGTTTAGGGCCAACTCTGGGGGTTTAGGGTTTCGGGTTCAGCGTTCATGTCACGTCCAAACTTACAAACATTGCAATGCATTCGTACAAAGCCCTGCGCACAAAAAGATCTGGACATCAACCCTAAACCCTAAAAGCCAAATCCTCAAACCTAGACCCCAAACCCTAAATCCCAAATCCTCCAACAAAAAACCCTTAACCCAAAACCTTAAACGAACCCTAAACCACGTGAGGCTTTTCTTGACCCGTTCACCCCTGCCTCTCTGCGCAACAAACGACATAACTTAAACTGGGTTGCTGTTAAGGAATTTGTTAGGGTTTAGGGTACGATACTATCTCCCTACAATGGAGAATCAAATGGAAAAGAACATGGAAATGAAATGGAAAACTGGGGGAATAGAGTGATTTCAGGAACTTAACTTCAAGTTATTATATTAGGGAAACCATATCAAGTACTATTATACACTCATTGTGGTAACTTAATTTAAGTTCCTTACTGGCAACCCACTAAACGCCATGCAATTACAAACCATGTAATCTAGGAGGGCGAAGCCCAAGTTACGACCCGGCAATATCCCGCAGTTTCCAATAAGTACAATTACAGATGTCATTCATGTTATACATAGCTTATGACGCAACATGCTCCCCGAACCCCACACCCTGCATAATCCTTGTGTCATCTCTATATATCCCCTTTATTCCATCTTAAAGGGACCCTAAATTTGAACAAACCCTGAATTCTAAATCCTTAGCCCTAAACCCCAAACCCTAAACCCCAAACCCTAAACCCCAAACCCTAAAGCCTAAACCCTAGACCCCCAGGGAAAAACAGTAAAACCATGAGGATCCTTTGGTGTCAGCCGAAGCTTGCGACTGGGGCCGGCTTTGGACGACCACTGCAGACGGTTCGATCCAGCCCCAGGGTAACCCGGGCACCAAGTTTGGGTCCCCCTTTAAAGGGGTTGTACGGGCTATAATAGGACTATACCGGGGCTATGTAGAGACATAGAAGGGACATCAAGGGTTTAGGTTTAACTGGAGAATCAGCTGAAAATCAAATGGAGGCTGAGTTAAATAGTGTTCTTTTACTGATTAGCGTTTGCAGGGATGGCTTAATACAGCTTACCCCCAATAAAGGGCATAGTGCTGACAACCTTCCAGGTATTACTGCAGGGTGCCTTGCTAGAGACTAACATTCCGCGCGTCGAGTTGTATAGTTAGTGCCCTGGGCTTGATATAAGAAGATTCTTGACAGATATGAGGGTTTTGGCCACTGCAGGATACAGGAAGGTTTGCTGGCGGACTTCAACATGCAGTATGGGATCATGCTACATTCCTACTACTACACCTTAAACCCTAAACCCTATATAGCCCCATTACAGTAGTTTCTGTTTTCTTTTCGGTTATCCCCATAGAAACTCAATATAACAAACCCCGAGACATGAATCTGAGGTCCCCAAGAGAGACTTCAAACAACGCAAATAACTGCAGGATGATCGGAATATCTGAGCAGTTGGTCAGAGGCACTGCTGACACTAAACATCCTGCATGGCCTTACTATACTGCAGCACGATACTTCCCAAGGTATAAGGTACTTAGGGCCATGCAAGAATTTTAGTATCCACCGTATCACTATTCAAGACCTGGAGATATCATGTTTCTCAACTGTTTCAGGGGAAACATGTTCCCCAATTGTGTCCTATTTGTAAGTATCACCCTCTATGAGCTCAAGCCTTCTGTTTTGCTGAGCCGCTGAAAGCTCATAGGCTTGTCCTGATGTCTGCTCCTTGTATCTAACTGTTGCCAGTCAGCGCCACCATTGAGCCTTGACCCTTGCGTCCTGAACCCTCAACCCTATAGATCCCAAACCGTCGTCCCCAAGGCTAATCGGCCTAGTCGGCTTAAGCTTTCACATCTAAACTGGCCAGCGGTTTAGCCTTTCAATCCGATATCCCAACTGAAGCCTCCGTCTGTGATGCAGTGCATACAGTGCTGCCAAGGTAAGAACCCCTTCCCGGTGGAGCTGGTGTCAAAGAGGACTGGGCTCTGAACTACAGGGGAACTGGAAGCTACAGGGATGCTATGCAGATGTTGTAGGAACTCAGGGCCTTGGGTCGAGTTTCCAACAATGACGGAAGGGAATTTTATATCTATACTGTCCGCGGCTAGGACGATTGCAGTTGAACTGCTCACTGGCTCGTAGCGACAGGGATCCAGAAATCCAAAACGGTTTTGTATGTACACTCAGCGACGACCTGCATTCTGCCCGTATCAACCCTCACAGTCCAATCTCTCCCAGACGGATGACGGAAGAGTCTTCCTTGGGCATCCGAAGCTCACAGAAAACACGATGAAACCGTCAACATGATTCATACCAGTATGGGTATGACCTAGTAATAGTACTAGTAATAGCAATAGTACTAGTAATAGTAATAGTAATAGTACTGCATTCGCCGGGAGGATGTCCTTCCAGGACTTTGATGTCACCCTCTGCTGCGACGTGGCGCACGCCCTGCGGCGGCCACCTCTCTGTGCTGCAACCAACGAGCCTGGGTTAAAAAGGGGTTATATGAGCCATAGTTTGAACTCCTTAAAGGGGATTATGTAGGGGATTGTATATGGGACTACTATAGGGGTTATTAAGGGGGATACTAGGAGTTTAGACAATGGCTCCTGTAGGGTTTAGGGTTTCGGGGTTAGGGTTTAGGGCTTCGAGGTTGGGGTTCAGGGTCTAGGATTTAGGAGTTAGGGCCTTTAGGTTTTTGAATCTAAATTCGTTCAAAGAGCTTGTAACGCTCCAGGATATGGAATCTAAGGTGGAAGCTACAGGGACTTCTTGACGGTGAGGTTCTTGCTTGTTGTTGTTATTCTTGGTGGTGGTTGTGGCTGCAGTGGGAGTAATGTAGACCCTACAAACCCCAACCCCCAAACCCTGTAGACCCAGAAAGCCCGAATTTCCCCACCCTGTAGACCTTGCAAGCCCTCAAACTCAACCCTATACCCTATATAGTCCCCCTTAAGTAGATAGAAGATGGGGTATAGGGGGATCTTATTATGATATACCCAAAGTCATATTCTATCTACTTAAGGGGGCTATAAACCAGCCCAGGAGTCCACCGGAGTGCATGTCCACCTTGGCCGCTACCCGAGCCTCAGAGGATTTAAGAAGCCTTCTGGTCTTGGTCTCCAAAAGATTAGGGGCCTGCTTTTCAGCGGTTTTGTATGGGGGTTTCCTAAAATTAGGGGTACCATTAGGGGGTCCCGATAATATGGACTGTAGTATTTTGGGGTCTATATTGCGGTCCCCCTATTTTGGGAAACTACCATATATATATATAAGGGACATGTTAGGATATCATCGGGAGAAGAAGGGTGTTAGCACCGGTTGGGGTTTCAATGGATCAGGGGTTATGCTAAGGGTCCCGTGTTCATTGAAAGCCGTATATAGGGCTATGGTACAGTCACATACTCGTATTTGGGGTTTCTTAAGCACATGTGACATGACGGGTTCTTCGGAAATGACATCGACAAGGGTGCCTTTCGGAACTCCCTGGATAACCATACCTTACAGGAGATCTGCAGATACCATGGACATTATTGGGGCTTGTGTTTCCTGCTCCGAAAACAGAACTAGCACTTTGCAGACTCTGACGCACATCCGCAATGGCCCTAAGGTCCTTATCCCATCCTCTCCTGCAGGTCTCCGAGGGTTTGACAACATTGGAGCTGCTTCTACTTGTGTGATGTGCAGGTGTATCGTAAGCTATCCAAGCACCAGCCGGGAAGACGAAACCCTAAACCCTATATAATCGTATATTGTACATGTATACCCCTATGTATGTATCATTTGTAAACCCCTTGCAGAGCCCATTTCGGTTTGCCGAGGAGCTTCTTCTCTGTGGAGGAGGTAGCCGCAATCTTGAAGGTCTACTTGCGCTTCGAGCCGGTTATCAATGAGCTTTTCCTTCCGGTGACCAGCCTCAAGTAGAAGCCTGAATGATTATCAAGTTTGTTTCCTCGTTCTTCTTTTGTCATTGGAGCATTCTATGCGCGAATGCCTTATTCAAGCGTATAGGCCCATACACGACGCGCAGAAAGACATTCTCATAGTCCCCCATCAGGTCAACACAATCCTTGCGCAAACAAAATAATTGAATCCTCTCCACACCTGAAACCCTCAATCTTCAGGGCTTAGGGTTCAAGGTTTAGGGTTTTAAGTTTAGGATGCACCCCCCCAAGTCCGATAATCCCTCAAGCCCTCCTCCAGTGATCCATCATTCTTGTTCTGTGTACTAAAGCCTGCAGCCCACATTGCAAATCACGTGTACGTGACACTTCTTTCCTTGAAGCTAAACAAGCCTCGCAGGTGTCACCACACCCTAACCTCTAAACCTCTCTCTCGCTCTCTCTCTCTCTCTCTCTCTCTCTCTCTACATATATATATATATTATATACATATATGTGTATATATATATATACATACATCTGCCTATACCTCAACAGCCTACTCCCTACCCCCTAGCCTGCACATCCTGAGCCCTAAGCCCTGGAGGTGACACGGCAGCGCAACCGATTCTGCCGGGACCTGCGCGAGGTCCTGGGTCGCGCACAGGGCTTGGGCCCGGCTGCCTCGGATCAGGAGCAGTTGGGCTTTGGAAGTGGGTATATGTAGTATATATAGGGCCTTCATGAATACCAAAATTATGTCCCAGATTCGTTTTATATGTATAGGGTACTCCAAATGGATTGTAATTATAGTATATATGCGACCGCTTTCAAGTGGAAACCCTGGCCAAACGATAGGCACCCCAAGATGGGCGAGTTATGGGGATCCCATCAATCATCTGGCGAAACACTGCCAAGCAATAGGGGTATGAAAGCCAATAGCGTGCCCAAATCCTGTTAAAACGATAGGCCCTCCCAAAAGCGATTCCCTTGAATGTTTACGTGGTCTTTAGAAGTAATACTTCAGCAGCCGCTCATATTGGAAGCGGAGACCATGAAATCAAAGCTCATCTCGAGTTTGAGAAGCCCCGATGCAGATTTCAACGCCTCAACTCACTGTACCTAAAAGCCAGAAGATGTTGCTTGCCTTCAGGCTTGAACTTTTAGTGGTTCCTTCTCTTCTTCTAAATTCTATCATAATCCAGCAAAAGCAAGCTCGTGTTCTCCCATTTCATTGCTGCCGCCGCCAGTAAGACAGACGCGAGAGTTCATTCCCCCCTCCAAACTAACATGGAATCCCACCAGCTTGTCAAAGGACAAAAGTCTTTGTACGGTTCCTTTGTAGGTTGCCTGTTAAAGGCCTGAACCCGGAAACTTGAACTCCAAACCCTAGACACAAACCTAACCCCCCAAAACTCCCTAAACCCTGACCTTAAACCCTAAGTCCTAACCCTAAACCCTAACCCTGCCCAGACCCTCCAACGTAGTTCATTTCTGGGCAGTATATTATGACCCCTTACCAAAACAACATAACAGACCCAAAAAGGAACTACATAACCCTTGGGTACCTAAACCCTAAACCCCAATTCCTAAACCCTAAACCCCAAATCCTAAACCCTAAACCACAAATCCTAAACCCTAAATCCTAACCCCAAACCCAAACCCTAAACCCTAATTCCTACTGCTTGGCTATAGGGGGCAGCGAGGAGCTCTTCGCGAAGATCGATGCGGCCGTGGCCTTTGTGAGATCTCTGAGCCCCGAGGCGCCCTCGGGGTTGTAGAGAGTTTCAGGGTTTAGGGTGTGTTAATGTTTTTTTGGTGTTGTTTTTTGTGGTGTAGGGGTTTGGGGTGTGTTTGTTTTTTTGGGGTTTTAGGGGTTTAGGGTCAAGGGTTAAGGTTTTGGGGCTTGGAGCTTCGGTCCTCTGGCTTAGCTCTTAGAGCTGGGGCTTACAGGCCTTGTGGCTTTGGGTTTTGGACTTAGGCTTCGGGACTTCAGGCTTACAGAATTAGGGTTTGGGGATTGGGATCATTGTTCACGGCTTTCGGGGTTGGAGTTTTGGGTTCAGGGCTTAGGTTTTTTTTGGCAGGGCTGGTGGTTGAGGGCTGCATGGTTCAGGGTTTACGGCCTGGGGTTCATGGTTTTGGGAGTTTTAGACTCTAGGGCTGCATTCCTCATTCCCACCTTTCCTTCTACAGGCGCTCTTCCTTCCACGCTCCACCTTCAAGTCCCGCTTGAGCCATGAGTTTGATGGGTTCTCCAAATGAGAGTGTCCCCTACATCACCACAAAACATGCCATAGTCCCTGGCAGCCCTTCTTCAGGGTACCCTCCTAAAACAAGATCCGTTTTTGCCTGAGAAGCCAATTTAAAGACACCTTCATGTTCTGCATGGTGTTTGGTATCCCTACAGTCCCTAGCTACTCCCCAAGAATGATCCCCATAATCCATTCCCCACACTCTTTGGAAGTACAAGGCTCGAGCAGCCTGCCTGGAGGGCGCGCGTGCCCGCCTAACAAAGGATGAGCTGCTTCTGGGCGCCTCGCCCTCGTCAGACGTGGGGGCTTGCTGGTTCCTAGACGGGACTGTGGGAATATAGGGTTAATGGAAGAGAATAGAAAAGAAAATGGAAAAGAAA